CTTTATATAGCACAACATATGAGTAACCTTTACGTATTGAAGTTGATAGGCTAGACATAAGGCCATTTTTTCTCGAAAGTATGAAGTCCTATATCGTGGCCTTTATTTTGACAGCAGCCTCCTTTCGCTGTAGCTAAGTAATTTGAATTCGTTTTGGCAATTTAATCGTGTTAGGCGGGCAGCTTATATAAAGGCAACATTTCAGGGGCCCTTTGCCACAAGTCATGAAAATTGCCGACCTCGAATCCAGACGTTTTTCTGGCATCGTTAGTCAGCCTTGTAATTTGTGGCCCAGGGCTTCAACGCGTCATGGAAAAGTAAAGTCAATTTGTTGATCAACATGCCGCCTGAAAATTGGGTTACCTCGCCATCCGTCTCGGTACTTTCCCCTCTCTATCATTCTTTTATCTCTACCTTAACTATCAGAACCTCAAACTTATATACTAATTTTTATATATTCCAGAATTAATGCCCTTTTAAGCGGATTTAGTAAAATCCAAAAACACTTCCGCTGGTTTGATCTCGCCTCCTTAATCGGGCTAGAAATGTTAGCCAAATTATGCTCCTTTCATCAAATCTACCTTCATGAATCCTCTATGAATGTCTCCATCTTGCCTTTTATATCACCTGTAAGGTAATTTTGCTCGGCCTCTGCTAACATACCCCCAAGTTACTCGAGACTCTATTACCCATGAACTGCCTCAAGTATTTATAGTGTAGAAATCAAAATGCAAGATCAAATCACAATAAAAAAACCCGCAATAAAATGCTTAGTAAAGGTCTTGGCATTTATACCGCCTAGTTAACCATTTTCCCCAAATGAGGAAAATTCGCATTCTAAGCCCATCTAATAAGAGTTTAAATATAAATAAACCGAGTATGAGTATGAATATATACATAAGGACATATGAACAAAAGGAATAGGAATGCAACTTAGGATAATCTATGACAAAGCCTACGGTGTAAACAGGGTTGCTCGGTTGGATCTTCAATTCAGCCAAAACCCAAATACTATTTGCTAGCTTCATTGATTGATATAGCATATCTTGACCGTCAACGTTGCGTTTCGCAATGGTAAAAACATTGTTGTTACGAAGTTTCATACCACATTCATCTAGGGGAATGAAATGGAGAAGTAAGAAGGATTTAATTATAAGAAAGATATGTTGAACTTTGAAAGGTGCAAATAATGAAGAATGAGAGATTTGAAACGATCAAAGT